ATATAAACAGAACCTATTACAGAGTTACAAGTTAAAATGATAAAGTACTGATAACTATTTTATCAGATATATATACAAAGATTATATAAACAGAACCTATTACAGAGTTACAAGTTAAAATGATAAAGTACTGATAACTATTTTATCAGATATATACAAAGATTATATAAACAGAACCTATTACAGAGTTACAAGTTAAAATGATAAAGTACTGATAACTATTTTATCAGATATATACAAACAATTTTATCTTGACAGGTATTTCTGGCCTCTTCACGGTGTTTTCAAGCTTTGTTTATTGCACCAGTATCTTAAAGTTTTTTAAGGGTAACTTCTCCGAATTGAAGTAAGTTATTCTTCTGGTTATGATGAGTATAAATATATTTTTGTTGAATTAAATTTGACACTGACAATATATTTTCAAATAGATATTTTCTTTCCATTGTAAACACTTGAATACCCAATTAGAAAATATTAATTTTCTTGTGTTTTAAATTTTATAGTACATTAATAACTTTAACTTAAACAAAATGAATATAAGGTGAGATATTTTACTAGTTATAGGTGTAGTTAATATCAAAATTGTTATTCAGGAAATTGTTTTATATAAAATAATAGAATAAATCCTGAAAGTATAAGACAGGTGTGTCTCAAGATTTGATTGATATTTCTTTTTGAATGAAGTGGTTTCGTATTTAGCAGAAGAAGATTAACATGTTGTTGTTTTATATATTTACAGTGAAGCTTTGCCCTTATTTCTTCTTCTTGTTGATTTATCAAAAGCAGCTCTGCTGGCTCAGTTTGCCCTCAGCTCTGCTTCACAGGTTAGTGGGAAATTTTGACGTATTTACAAATTCTTCTCTATATTTGGTATAGAGAATGTTTCATAACTTTATAACCAATAAAATCCTAGTGTTGGAATACAGATAAACTGAAACTTGAACTTTGTAAAATGTATGATTTTATATTCCAATAAGATGCTTTACAGATAAGGTACGCTGGTAAAGTCCAGAACTAACGAGCATACAAACATGTTACATTGTATATATTATCTCTAGGAGGAGGTGTGTGAGAATATTGCTAAAGGAATGGCCGTTCTCGGACCACCGATAACTCTAGATACCTTAGTTGAAACCCTTGTAATTGGAGTTGGGACTTTGTCAGGTAAAGCTTAGTGTTTACTGTTCTTAACATGTCTTAGTATTTTTTCTTACAATAACTAAACAATGAATACTGTTAAAAGTTATTACATAGGCCTACTATAAAAAAAGTTAGTAAAAGAACTTTCATAGTACTTTACTTTTGGCTTAGAATTGCTGTAATGAAACAATCATATGCTATTTTGATATACTGTATTGTTGTAATGAAACAGTTATATTTCTGAATAACATATTATTGTATAAATGAAACAATTGTTTTCCCTACATACTGTATTATTGTAATGAAACAATTGTTTTCCCTACATACTGTATTATTGTAATGAAACAATTGTTTTCCCTACATACTGTATTATTGTAATGAAACAGTTATATTTCTGAATAACATATTATTGTATAAATGAAACAATTGTTGTCCCTACATACTGTATTATTGTAATGAAACAATTATATTTGTAAATAGTGTATTGTTGACTAATGTTACAAGTGTACAGATTAAAATAACAATGACGGTGTCTAGAATAAACTACAATATTAGAAAGAACTGTTTTTTAAAGTTCACACAAGCTTTTATCAGTTATACATAGTAAAACTTTTATTTTAACCACAATGTAAGAACAACAAAGTTTTACTATGTACAACAACAAAAACTTGTATGAAAGTCCAGTTCAGTTACTAAGGGAAGTGTCAAAAGGATTAGTGAATTGATAATTGCTGTGGTTTATTTGTTTAACACGTATGCACAGACAAAATCTTAAGCGTGATTTCTGGCACGTCGCTGATTGATCACCGTGTTTTTTTTTTTTTGGCAGGGGTAAAAAAACTTGAAGATGCGTGCTGTTTTGCTGTTCTTTCTGCACTTGTTAATTACGTTGTTTTCATGACATTTTTTCCTGCTTGTCTTTCCTTGGTGTTAGAAGTAAGTGACTTTAATATTTCTTATATTTTACTGTCATCAAAGTAGCAGAAATTATGTTACTTAAGAATGACCGTTTTGCCAATCTGTCTAAATACATAACTTCTGTGTTAGCCATTTAAATACAGTTTTATCCAGGTTTAGTTTGGTCTCCAGGGATAAACCTGTCACTAAGATGTCAGGTTGTGTGTCCAGGTTAGATATCCCAAATTTCTTGTATTACTAGATTAAGTAGTTAATGATTGATTACAGTATCAATAATAATCTTGATAAAGAGTGGTTGTAAGTTAATTTTATCATGTTCACAGTTATCTTCATAAATATAGGATGTAGGTTAAGTTTATCATGTTCACAGTTATCTTGATAAAGATAGGTTGTAAGTTAAGTTTATCATGTTACAGTTATTTTGATAAAGATAGGATGTAAGTTAAGTTTATCATGTTCACAGTTATCTTGATAAAGATAGGTTGTAAGTTAAGTTTATCATGTTCACAGTTATTTTGATAAAGATAGGTTGTAAGTTAAGTTTATCATGTTCACAGTTATCTTGATAAAGATAGGTTGTAAGTTAAGTTGATAATGTTCACAATTATCTTGATAAAGAGTGGTTGTAAGTTAGTTTATCATGTTCACAGTTATCTTGATAAAGATAGGTTGTAAGTTAAGTTGATAATGTTCACAATTATCTTGATAAAGATAGGATGTAAGTTAATTTTATCATGTTCACAGTTATTATGATAAAGAGTGGTTGTAATTTAATTTATCATGTTCACAGTTATCTTGATAAAGATACGTTATAAGTTAAGTTATTCTAGTCAGATGTAGATTGCGTTATTCACTTTCTTGGTATCAGATATGTTTTAATATTTTGTTACTTTGTTGGAACTCTATATGGTAATGACACCTTTTTAGCTTATTACTAGATCTTTTATTTTTCACAGTTGTCCAGAAATCGAGGTGAAAATCATCATACCTGGCATCTGAGTCATGTAAGAAAAATGTTACAGCAAGAAGAGGAACAGAAACCAAATCCTGTTCTTCTCCGTGTCAAGGTCATCATGGTAAGTTGGAGATTACCAGCACCTGTAATGGTAGATTTAATCACTGCAACTTTACTGACTGGTTTTTACCATGGTAAATAATTATTTAATACAGCTATATTAACATTGATATCGGTTGTATTAGAATATAGGATAAGATTATGAACTTTTGTATAGTATTACTGTTTGTAACTGTTGTTATAAGTAATGCCAGTATTTGAAATACTGACAGATATGTTAACATTGATATCGGTTGTATTAGAATATAGGATAAGATTATGAACTTTTGTATAGTATTACTGTTTGTAACTGTTGTTATAAGTAATGCCAGTATTTTAAATACTGACAGATATGTTAACATTGATATCAGCATTGCTTTTAGTTATGTTAAATTTAAACTTGTTTAACAGAGAAAAAAATCCTTTATGGCAGTGATATTACGAGCATTCACAGCTTGAAAATGTACATGATGAGATAGCCATATTTATATGATGAGAAACTAACTAGTATAGGTTGTTTACGCATCACTGCATGAAATAAACTGTCTTAATATCCAGCTAATTAATGCTTAGGGAAAAACTGGCTTCAGGCTGTTTCAGTATTACAACTCATGTTTTATTCATGAGTGTAGTTAATTTTAAGCAGAAGTATTTGTAATGTAGACCACAGTTTTATTACGGTCAGGATGATGACTAGGTATCAGTCAAACACTTCATGGTACTAATTCCACTTTAGAGAACGTCAGTAATTGTGAAACAAAGACATTTCTTGTAAAGTTGACTCACATAATAGTGTGTACTTATATATATATATAATTAATTCTTTTTTACAACATAGCTTTCGTATGATTTAACAGCAACACGGGATCTGTATATTGTGATAAAAACAAGATTTGAATTTAGTACTGAGGCTTTAAGCGTCTACAGGCATTGTATCAAACATATATGTAGTTCATTAAACCCATAATCATTTCTAGGGCCTAATGTGGTTGATTAAAAGTTGTGAAGGTAATATTGTAGGCATATTATTCTAAGCATGTTTGTTAGGATTCCCAGTTAATGTATTTATTAGGCTTAATATTTTTATTGAATTTGATACTTTATATGTAATATGGTCTTTACACAAAATATATTTATTGAATATACTACTTAAAATGCTTATTAAGGTTACTATTCTTATTAAACTTAACACTTACTACACTTATAAGGTTTCAAAATCAATATTGTTATGTTGATCGCTTTCCAACTGCAGTATGTATTATTACAATAAGGCTACACAATCTAAAGACTTGAGGTCAAACAATGAAAACAGTTCTGTAATTCTACTCTCCAGTCTGCTGGTCTGGTACTGGTTCACCTTCACAGCCATTGGCCTATAATGACAAAACAGTGTCCTGTTGTTGAACAACATGCAAACATTGTTAAAGGAAGTTTCCTGTCTGACCACGGCTTGCTGGACAATAGCTCCACTTTTGAAGTCTTTTACAGGTAAACAATTGCCTTTGAAACCGGCAGGTGTAATAAATATTCATAGTGTTAATGAAAACCGTGTTTCACCGTATTACTGTTTGTACGTGTATTGTTATCAGTTAGAGAGGCTTTCCACATTGAATATTTGTGTTTTATCAGTTAAACAAAAGATGGGGAATTTTTTTACATGTCAGCTCAGTTGAAACATTGCTAATCAAATTTCAAATATGGTTACAGTATTGAATGTGGTACTAAAAACATGTAACTAATTCAGGAGTATGACAGTTTTTATCTTTTGAAGATTAAGAAGAAACTGTTTTGAAAACATTTACATTTTTAAATAGTTATTAGTTAACAGCTATCTTCGATAATGCATTAGAACTTTGTAAATCTTGCTTTGAATTGTCTTATCCCGGTGGGTTTGATAGTAGAGGTTTTATTCAACATGAATGCAGTTAAATAAAACCTTTACTTTGTTTTATATTACCGTAATTAACATCAAATTACTTTTTGTTCGCAGGTGGTTTTCTGTTAGTCTGGAACAACTAGTTATGATCATCCTGGCATCTGCTTTAGCTGTAAAATATATATTTTTTGAGCACAGAGAAGACATTCAAGAGAGAATTGCTGTGGCTACCGGCACGCGTCCCTCTGGGGGACTTGAGAGAAATAAAAGTGTGACTGACTCTACTCCTTCCACTCCTGGGGTTTCTTTCTACAGACAGAGTAAGTAAGACTTGAGAAGTTATATGTTAAGTCAAATTTTGAAGATACTACAAGATCTTGAAACCATTATAAGTGTTTTTGTTTTTATAATTAGGAGCAAATGTGATCTTTAATAATATTTATTTTCTGTATTTCTAGCAAGCTGCTTGCCAAACATTGGTAGTCCAATGTCACCAGGTTGCTTTCAACCCTATATATCGCCCGGGGTGTCATCCTTTACCGGCTTTCCTACTTCACCTTTCTCCTATAGTGCCAGCTTTCCTACTTCACCTTTCTCCTACAGATCCTTTTCATTTACTGTTGGTGAGGAGGAGCAGGAAAAACAACATGTAAACAAAGAAGTCCAGACAGATGTAGTTGAAGATACTGAAACAAGTGTGGTTTGTCTCCCCGTGAAACCTCGTTCTATCGCTGATTGTGTTGATATACTAAAGTCCACGGTAGGTTCCCACAAGCTTTCATTGTTAATAAGGACAGTTAGCTTGACTTTATAAGAAAGATTTACATTCATATATATATATATATATATATTACATAGATAGGATGCATGACAAGTTTCCAACTTTTTGAAATTATATTTAAACAAGCTACTAAAGGAACTTATTTTAACCCTCTTGATATTCATTTAGTGTTTAAAGTTCTAGAGGCAAAATAAACAATTAAAAAAAAAATTAAACCCTTACCGTTATATTTAGAAGCCAACAACTCAAATATCGGAGCATTTGGGACAACAAAGACTCTAAAATCATATCTCCCAAGCCTATCGGGAGCAATGAACTCATCCACAAAATGAAAGCTGTGGTTACTAAAGAGAACCTTCTAACCCAAAAAGAGATTGTGATAAGCTGGGTTTTCTTCTGATACCAATAAAAGATTAATAACAAAGATTTGAAGTTGGCACAACTGAACTAAAAGATGTTTTTATGATTAAGATGGCTAAAGAAACTAGAATAATCCCATTCAAGTCCCCTAATGTAGCTTCAATGGTTTGTGCTTTTATTCTGGTTAACAGTGGTTTTTTTAAACAGTAGAAAATCCAGAAATTTTATAAGTTTTTAGACCGACCTAGTTGTTCTTTACAGAAGCTTTATTAGAATCAAAACTGCAATATCTGACAATCACAGCCATTGGACTAATCATGATCAACTCTAGTACAACTTTTTGCCATGTATAGAACTTAATTTTCAAACATTGTTATCGATATATGAATATATTTACATATGTTTTAATAGTTTTTTTAGAAACTAGAATTAGGATCAAGTAAAGTGTAATATTTTCTTGAAGTTCATTATTTATAAGATTCTTGGTGCCTTACAGGAAGGCCCACAGAAACTAACAGATGAAGAAATACTCATACTTGTGGAACACAAGTACATTGCTCCATACAAACTAGAATCTGTCCTGAATAATCCTGAAAGGGGTGTACACATTCGACGTCAACTTGTTACCAAGTCTTCCAACTGTAGCAGTGGGTTGAATGATCTTCCATATGAACATTATGATTACTCTTTGGTAGGACTACTTACTGATTCATAGTTTATAAACCTTTTAGTTATGTTGTAAACTTTATTTTATTAATTTCTCTTCTAACTTAAAACAATAGTAATGATAACTAATTAATTTATTTCTTCAGTAATGTTTATTACAGGCTATGTTCACCTTGACACAAGTTGTAGGCCGAAGTTGACAAACAGTATTTCAACAGAAAATGTGGTACTAATGTTACCCTACACCTAACTTGCAAATGAACTTGCTTATAGAATATCTTTGTTAATAAATACGATAACTCTCATTACTAACACTGAACTGAATCACTTATTGAATACTTAATAATATTACTCATTAACTGTTTCACTGAGTCTCATATTTATATTGTTTCCTGATTTGTACATAATTCCCAAAATTACTAGATTCTACAGAACTTTCTTCATCATAATTAGCTCCCTCTAGCAAATAAGCATCTAAACTAAAATATAGATAATATAGTTTACAACAGTATATTAATTCTTGCAGCTTAGATTAGTATTGTTTGGTTAAAATGTTAATCTACCACTCATGTTGATGAAGCTACGACATTATTCAACATGTTAATTCTCTGGGGAAATGTTAATCTACCAATCATGTTGATGAAGCTACGACATTATTCACCGTGTTAATTCTCTGGGGAAATGTTAATTTACCACTCATGTTGATGAAGCTACGACATTATTCAACGTGTTGATTCTCTGGGGAAATGTTAATCTGCCACTCATGATCATGAAGCTACGACATTATTCAACGTGTTGATTCTCTCGGGAAATGTTAATCTACCACTCATGTTGATAAAGCTACGACATTATTCAAAATATAATTAATAGCAGATTTACTTCAGTGAAGCACTTAACAATAAAGCTGAAAATAATATTGCACTTTTGTTTTTTGTTAAGGTTTGCATCTGTGTTTATTTTTCACCAGTCGTGTTTTATCATAATATTTATATTACTTGGTAAATTAGATTTTGTTTTTCTCTTTCTGTTAGGTAATAGGTGCATGTTGTGAAAACATAATTGGTTATGTACCAATTCCAGTTGGAGTTGCTGGCCCACTAGTACTGGATGGAAAGAAATACCAAGTTCCCATGGCAACCACAGAAGGATGTTTAGTTGCAAGTGCTAACAGAGGCTGTAGAGCATTGGCTGTAAGTTTTCATAACAACTGTAGTTGAATGTTAATGTGTAGACTATTGGCTGTAAGTTTTCATAACAACCGTAGTTGAATGTTAATGTGTAGACTATTGGCTGTAAGTTTTCATAACAACTGTAGTTGAATGTTAATGTGTAGACTATTGGCTGTAAGTTTTCATAACAACCGTAGTTGAATGTTAATGTGTGTTAAGGATATGTGTAGACTATTTGTGTAAGATCTCATAGAAATCTCAGGTGATTTGTTAGTGTTAGAGAGAGGTTGTTTGGTATTAGCTGTACCTTAAAATCCACATGTACGTTTCTGGCAAGTACAACACTTGCTTTAAAAGATGCTGAAGGTGGAAGTTCAATAAAGGAAGTTTGTGTCGAGATACTTGATGCTCAGATTATTGTACATGATTTTAAAATGTTCTTATTCACTAATACCATTTTTACTAATGATATGCTGGAAGAAAGTAAGAAGTTAAATGTTTGATATTAACTCAGTTTATGAGACTACATAGCACTTAACATTGAGGGTTTGATATTAACTCAGTTTATGAGACTGCATAGCACTTAACATTGAGGGTTTGATATTAACTCAGTTTATGAGACTACATAGCACTTAACATTGAAGGTTTGATATTAACTCAGTTTATGAGACTACATAGCACTTAACATTGAAGGTTTGATATTAACTCAGTTTATGAGACTCTTCCCTTTTTT